GAGACGATGACAAAGTCGATCATCGAACTGTGGCCTAGGGTGTCCTGGTGCCAAGAGCACATATGGACACCCTTATGCTTGAACAAGGTGTTCGTTATTGACAATCCATGACGAGCTCAGAAGTCCAACAGCAGAACACCACTCAGGTTCAGATCAGGGGGGGCGTTCCTCCCAACCACACCCCTCCAGGTCTCACTGTTATTGCCCACATGATCATTGAAGTCCCCCAGCAGAACAAGGGAAGCCCCAGGAGGTGCACTTTCCAGTAGCCCCTCAAAGGACTCCAAAAAAAGGGTGGATAATCTGAACTGCCGTTTGGTGCATAAGCACAAACGACAGTCAGAACCCGTCCCCCCACACGTAGGCGGAGGGAGGCCACCCTCTCATTCACTGGGGTGAACCCCAACACACAGGCACCAAGTTGGGGGGCAATAAGTATGCCCACTCCTGCTCGGCACCTCTCACCAGGGGCAACTCCAGAGTGCAAGAGTGTCCAGCCCCTCTCAAGGAAACTGGTTCCAGAGCCAGAGCCATGTGTAGAGGTGAGTCCGACTATTTCTAGCCGGAACCTCTCAGCCTCACACACCAGCTCAGGCTCCTTCCCCACCAGTGAGGTGACATTCCACGTCCCAATAGCCAGCTTCTGTAGCCGAGGATCAGACCGCCAGGGTCCCTGCCCTCGGCCACCACCCATCCCACAAATATCAGTCCCACATAATCATAAAATTGTTATTTATGATTGAGATTTTTTTTAACAAGTGAAAATAAAATGGTATTTTAAAAGATAATGTAACAAAGAACAGCTAGGTTTTAAGGTGATGTAGAAAATTAAAAACAAGAATGTGTCCACATTGATTGTTCTCAGGAACTTAACAGATGTTTGAAGCCACTTACAGAGGTCAAGGTTGAGACCTTCAGATCTTTTTGCAAGATATTCCAGGAAACTGGAACAGAGTAGGAGAAGACCCTTTTGCCAAGTTCAGTCCTCACTGAAGGAACACTGCAGGTAATAATGTCCTGAGTGCACACACTGTAGCTGTACTCACACAGAGACATGTAGGAGGAGATGTATGAAGGCAACAGACCAAGAAGTGATTTAAAGATGAAAATGTACCAGTGGGAGAGTCTGCGTGAAGTTAATGATGTCTAGTTAACCAGTGAATAAAGGGTGCAGTGGTGTGTATGGTAGTTACAGCCAGTTATGAATCTTAGTGCACCATGATAGACAGCATCCAACAACTGCAGGGTGCTTGAAGGGGCATTCATGTAAATGTTACCGTAGTCAATGGAGGGAAGGAAAGTCACAGTCAAAAGGTGTTTCCTAGCATTCAGAGTTAGACAGTATCTATTTCTTAAAAAGAAACCCAATTTAACTTTCTGTTTCCTTACTAGGTTTTCCACATGAAACTTAAAAGAGAGATGCGAACCGACCAAGATACCCAAATATTTGTAGGAATCGACAAACTTAATAAGGGAACCATTCAAGGAAAAAAATCAAAGGAAGAACTACTGGGACTGTTTTCTTGTTTGAAAAAAGCATCCCTTTGGTTTTGTCTGTGTTTAGTTCGTTTGAGACGGAACAAATCTGACTGGATGATGTCTAAAGCAGACTGCAAAAGCTGGAAAACCTTAGCAAACTGTTTTAGCTCACCAATAAACAACTGTGTCATCAGAATAGAAATGTAAGGATGCATCAGGGATGCTCTGACCTACATTACCTATATAAATTGTAAAGAGTGTCGGTCCTAAGACTGAGCCTTGTGGTACATCATTGTTGACTGTTAAATAACTGGAGGAAGTACCATTCTGTTGAACACATTGCCTCCGATCTGTAATACAGTTAAATAACCTGCCAGTGGTGTGTTCTGAGAAACCCATTCTGAGCGCTTATGACGTCATGGTCCACAGTGTCAAAAGGTTTAGACAGGTCTAAGAAAAGTGCAGAACAATAATCATTAGCGTCCAGTGGTTCAACAATGTCATTAAAAACCTTCAGCGAATCAGTCTTTATGCTATGTTGTTTCCTGAAACCAGATTGATGAAGAGGTAAGATGTTAAATGAGTCCAAATACTTTTTGATTTGAGAGTTTATCAGATTTCCTAGAACCTTGGCTAAAATGCGGAGTTTAGAGATACAACAAAGTTTAGTTTCTACAACAGTAATATGTTTGTTTATCTGTTAATGACCACAAATGGGTCATTTTTATTTAAATAAAGTGATGTAATTCTTTGTATATAATGATTTCTTTAAAAAAAAAATCTCTCTTCTTGATGACAGAGATTCTTCTTGGGTTTCTTGGGTATTTGTTTTATTATTGATTGCAACCATGGGGGCCAATATTGTAATTGCGTGTTTCTGTTTCTCTGTTAGCAAAATAAATTATGAAACACTAGATAAGTTTAAAAGAAACTTTCATATTATAATCCCTGGATAAACATCTACAACGATTAACTTTTGGAATCAACCCAGTTCAAGATGGCCACCACATTGTGCTTGACAACAAACACATAAATGCAGCTAATCAATTTTACAGGCAATGAGCTAAAATTTGATGTAGTAGCTGAGAGTCATTCTCAACTTGTTCTGTTACCAGTTCTAGAATTGGGGGGTGGGGGGTGGGGGTGGGGTGCAATAGATGAAGCTTTTGTCCTTGGTTACCCATGACCCAGGAAAAATTTGATGGCCCATTCCAAGGCCATCGGGGGTCAGATTCAGAGAAGCTTTGATTGACGATTTTTTTTTTTTTTAGGCAGACAGATTACTTTTTTCTTTAGCCTTGAGTCCATCTGGATGTTCTGGTTCCAAAATAGCCTAATTGTGAGACTCCATTCCACTGATCCATGCTATGAGTCTCCCTCAAGGTCGAACCCACCACGCTGACGAGTCCCAGAAGCTGCAGTTTGCCTGCGATTCTCATAAATTGCCTCCACCTTATGGTTTAGCTCGTAAACCACTTGATTTAGAGTTCCTACAGCACAGACCAAACCTTCACACTGACTCTGAAGCTTTGCCATGGCTGAAATTGCTGCCGATGTCTTCTTCAAAAGTCGATAAAACAGAGCCCCGCCGATGCCAAAAAGCAGAGTCCCTGCTATCATAAATCCAAATATGTAAACGTCTTCAGCATCCTCCTGAGACAGAACTGAGAGGCAGATCAGCTGCCACACTCCCCACGGATCCATGACATACCCCACAGCGTACATCTCAGCTGGACACACAGGTTCTCCATGGCCTTGTCGCTTTCTTGAAAAAATCTTATCAATGGAGTTGAACGCCCAGGATACCAGATCCATAATCTTCTTAATTTATGTTTGGGAGATGTGAACCAGGCATTTCAGACACACAAAGAGACGAGCAGGAGGAAGGAAAAACAGGGGAGGAAAGGCAAAAGCAGCCACCTCGATCAAGAGCCAGGGAGGAAAAATATTACCTTAACTAGAGCCCCAAATCCCAAATGAGTTGAAAAGGTGGTGCCGTGGATGCATTCCTATCTACCTGGAGGTGGTGCTCGAGTGCTTGACCGCTGAGATCTTGGAAGTGGTGGGAAATATGGCTCGTGACAGTGGGAGGACTGAGATCATTCCCCGGCACCTGCATTTTTGTCCACGGCGACGGGGGCCTATAGGCAGGTTGGTGGGAGGAATGGACATTGCTAAGGGAAGAGTTCTGCCTGGCATTCGGTTGGTTTTGCTGCCCAAGCAGATCAGGAGGTCTGCTGGGTCTGGATGGACAGATTGGCATCTGCAGCCAGTTTCTTAGGATCTGCTATGGGATGGACTGTTACAAGAGATCCTTCCTGCCTACAACTATCACCATCTAGAAGAAACCAGGATGAGCTACAACTACAATGAATTTCCCTTTGGGATTAATAAAGTATTTTTTGATTATGATAAAAAATTTTATTTATATTTTTTTGTGTTCAAAACTGTACCAGTAATTATTGGAGTCAAACATGGCTGTCTGTTAGCAAAATATTCAATGAACCGCTTGACTGTTTTCAATGAAACTCTCAGAACTTGTTTAGTGTATCTACCTCTACAGATGCTTAATGTTTAAAGTCATCCTGATTCAAGATGGCTGCCACAAATGGTTATAATTGTGTCAACTTTAAATATATTGAGCAAAAAAATGGTGTGGTAGTAGCTGAGAGTGATTCCCACCACATATTGTGAGCACTAACAGGTTGCATGAGGTCTTTCTTTAAAACTTTGTCATAACTATTTGTTCCAACTTTTTGTTCCAACCATTTTGTCCGATATCAAACTCTCATAAGCTGTTTTTGTGGATTTTACAAGCGTCCAACCCAGACAGAAACATTGTCAATAAAAAAATTCTGATATAGAATAAACGTGTGGGTATTTCTACCTTGTAAGGTATGACACCAATCACAGCCACTCATAAAAAAGATTTTATGACAGAATTTTCTCTCGACCAACTTTGTCCTCTGACTAAAGTGTGGCCACGGCTCCGGTTGGCACTTCTTCACAAAAAACAAGTTCGGGCATGCTTCAGTGTTGCCAAACGGACACATAATATTTCTGTTTTTGTGCTGGATATTCACATTTAATCGTCACTCTTTGCAACGTGTCTCACCCTGACAATAAGAGGTGAAATTCATCCAAACGAGTGGATTTCCTGCCTGTTACGTCTAATCTGGACAAGTAACCATGGCCTTATTTATTATCGGAAACACGCGGAAGCAATAACAGTAACAGACACAGGAATGGCTATTTCTATCGTCTAATCGTGACGAGAAATAAACCCAGACTGGATCAAACTAATTCTGGACTCAGTTTTATTCTGTTTGTTCCTTTTTTACCAAATCAGAACATGAAGTGTAAAATGTGTTGCCCCAGGGGAGTTAATCATTTAAAGCACACACACACATACATAAACACACCCTCTTTCTGCTTGGAGCTGTGAGCCAGGCACTGGTCTATAAAAGCGTACCTATGGGAGAGCAGAAGCACAACTCTATCAGCAGGTGACACACACACACATTCCAACACCCAAATTCAGATCCAGATCAGTTGCAGGACTGCCAATCTCCAAACACTCTTCTCCTGGGATATGAACACCCTCGTCATCATTTGTCTGCTGTGCATCGGTAAGTCTGAACTTGTACTTTTATCCTCACGCTTCAAGTCACTGAGGTGTGAAGGCAGAAGAAGGCGTGAAAGAAAAATGTGAACGTGCGAGTGATGACTTGTCAGGCAGGAATTGGAGAATTTCTGGTGTTTTAAAGGAAAGCGTTCATCAGAAGCGCCTCTGGTTGTGAGAAATCTGCAGAGGTTTTCTAAGGTAGCTCAGACTAAATTAGATACAGTTGAGGAAGAGGACTGGCTGGACAGGTTTCAGGTGCTTTGATGGTTCTGAAGGTAATTTAATTAGTCCTGAGGCAAACGCGACAGGATTTCTGAGGATTCTTTTTGTATAAAAAAAACAGCAGCAAATCGTCCGACAATATATCACAACTCTTTTAATGATCTCATGAGCACAAAAGTATTTAAAATTCTCTAAGTAACAAGAGAAAATGCTGCCATTGTTTGCTTTTGGAAAAGCACAAATTAAATCTTAAACCCAACAACGAACCTGTGCCATGAAGTTTTACATCTAGACGCCAGCTGATGTAAAGTTTTTCTCCCTTCTGATATCAGGGGCTGATATATAATATAGATGGTTTTTTTTCCACTGTATATTTTTCATTTAACAAAATACAAAAAATAGTTGATAAACTTAAATAAATGTATACTTCACAACCCTTAGATGACTACAGATTTAAAACGAATATAGAGAAGGGCATTTTGGATTAAAACAAACTAAATTATGACAGTTCCAGCTGTTCGTCCATTTCCAGCCTGTTATTGATAAAGGCGAGTATGAATGCAATTTTTTAAAAGCCAATTAAAAAATCTATCTCTGCACCTAACCAAGACCTTCTTTCAACTATAAGTTTTGTTGCGAATGACCAAACAAAAGAAACAGCTAAAGAAAATATCAAAAGTTGAAAAAACTAAGCTCTCTATTTCTGTGAAAGCATATGTAGGTGCTCAAGTTATTCCACCGTGAGCTCTAAAACCTGCTGACTTTTTTTGTTTATTGTGTTTTGCTTTCAGGCAAGTGTTAACAGTTTCACAAAACTTATTTTTGTTGACATTGCACATATATTTATACAAAAGTAGGATTCTTTGCAGGAATGCATGTCGCCCACTCATGCCAACGTTTCTAACAAAGACCTTGAGTGATTCGTTATCCTTTGAGGATGCGTTGGGGATCACTCTCAGCTACTACCACATCAAGCCTTAGCTTAATTTCTGTAATGCTGATGGAGTTACAGTACAGGTGTTTTTTGTCTTTAAGGGTAATTAGCTGTTGTAGCCATCTTCAGACTTCAAATGTTAATCAGTCCAAATTAATATTTTGCTAACAAGACAGACAAACACAGAGACACAGACAAACCTTTAAAATGGGCAATAAAAAGGACATTTGATATGAATCAAAGATTAAACTCTTCTCTCTCGTTTTTATGTCCATTTTTGATTCCATGTGATCCTGTTCTTGTGTTTGACTGTTTTCCTGCTTGCAGTTGTCTGCAGTGCTCTGGATGCTCAGGGATCCGAGGCCACCTACTCGACTGAACTAGCCAGAGGTGGTCCAGCCTCCGGGGAGGGCCTCGTAGGTTCACACGACCATGATGAGCAGGAAGTAGACAAGGAGCATTCAAGAGGAGACCATCAACTTTTCTCTCTTCATGGTATGAAAACAATTAAGCTGTTCTCCTTCCAAATCCATTATGCAACATACATTGATATCTTCTTTTACAAAAAAGTATGGCATTCATTTAAGGACTACATATTGCCTGCTGCCTTTCACGACACCATTTTTGTCTAAGATCATCCTATGTTCATTGTGATCTAACACTCAGAGTGCGTGTTTTTAAAGACTGTCAGCTACTGTCACCAAAATTTAGCTCACTACATGTAAAATTGTCAGTTATATAAATGTTTGTGTTGGCTTTTGTTGATAACCTGAGGAAGCCATCTTGAATTGGACTGACTAACAAAGTTAATCGGTTGTAGATGTACTGTACATCAAATGATTACTTGCTGGAAGTTGAATTATAATCTGAAGAGTGTTTCATGAAATATTTTGCTAACACAGAGACAGAGCTGATTCCAACAGTTAAAGCAAAAGTTTTAATTAAAGATCTCACACAATAAATAGTGCTCCAAGTATGTGTTGCAACTCTCAACTACAACCAAAACAGATTTTAGCATAATTTCTGTAAACTGTACTTAATATTAGCCACTTTTGTGTTTTTATGTTCAGTTGGCCGTGGTAGCCATCTTGAATCAGGTTGGCTCCAAAAAATACTCACTTGCAGAGGCACATGTAATGCTTACTTTCTGCAAGTTTCATTAAAATGTATCCAATCGCTTGTGAAATTGTTCAAGAATCTTTATTATCACCAAGGGGCATTTTATTTCACAGTCAGTAGGCACACAAAACATCCATACTAGACAAGACATCAAGACATTAAAATAAGAGTAATCATCATTGTTTGTTGAGAAGTCTGATCACTACAGGGATGAATGAGTTTTTCAGTCTGTTCGTTCTACATCTGGGCAGCAGACACCTGCGTCCAGATGGAAACAACCTGAGCTCACCATGGAGTGGGTGAACAGGATCTGCCAGAATCAGCCTGGCCTTGTTCACTGACCTCAGTGAGGTTCTGTAGGACTATACCAGCAGTTTACCTGCACATCCTGACAATCCCCGAGAGTTTGTTCCTGTTTTTGCATGTCAAAAGTCTAAACCAACAGATGAAGATGAAAGTTAAAAGAGACTCAATAAAACATGAATAAAAAAAAATATTTTTATACGTTTTGCTAACAGACAGAAGCACAAAGACAAACAATTGATACCGCCATTTTCACCTGTAGGTTATTATTTTATGTTGCAGGCCGACATGCTAACAAAGATGAGAAGAAGAAAAACAAAAACAGGCACAAGAACCGACAAAAGGGCAAATCTACAACTCCTCAGAACCCGAAGTACACCACAGGCAGGTACAACTCCACGCACAGCACCACTCAGGATCCCTGCACCTCCACCCACCTGGACTACTGCATCCACGGAAACTGCAAATACATCGAGGGCCTGCAGGAGCCAGTGTGTGTGTGAGTACAGCTCTGTCTTCCTCTATGAAATTCTACAGTTATGACAATTTGATCTATTCTGCAGAGTTAAAGCTGCCTTTTAACATGAAATACAAAAACTTTATCACCATGAGCCTACATGGACTCATACATTTGACCTTTTTTAAGGAAAAACCTGCTGAAGAATGTGAAAGTTCAGTGTGCATGCATGACTTTATAGCTCCTTGTCATCTCTGTGTAGCTGCATGAAGGGTTACGACGGAGAGCGCTGTGAGATCCAAACTCTGGGGACCACCAAGCTGGATAAGAGCTACAACACAGAGCTGGTGCAAATGGTTTTAGTGGTTATTGCCGTTGTGCTGTCCGTCATCAGCTGCTGCGCCGTCCTGCTCATGACTTGTGCACAGTAAGTCTTATTGTGTCACACTCACTGGCGAAAAACGCGCAATTCAGTAAATTAGAGATAAAATGAAGAAGAAAAAGTAGCAGTTTAGAAAATATTTAAAGGACAAATGCAAAATGCAACAGACAAGAATAGAGTAACTTCAATTAAATCACAATTTAAATTTTTGCTTTAATCCTACAACCGTTTGCCTTAAAGATTATTTATGACAAATCAATTAGTTGACAAAATAAATGCAAATCATTTTAAATCTTTGACTGCTGTTTAATTGCTTTTAAAATACTATTTTAATGCAATTATTTCTACCCATTTATTCATTCAGAGTGTTAGCTGCTGAAAAGCTGAAAACATCTAGGAACATTTTAGAAAAATTGTGCTAAAGTTAATCTTGTGTGAAGCATTTAAAAACACAGAGAATTACTATTTGTCTCAAACCGAGGACATTCTTAAATCCCTCAATTTAGCATTTTCAGCAACGTTTTCAAGAGCAAACCAATAAATACAAAACAAAAGAGAGAAGAAACCATTACGGAACATAATAACTCAAATTAGTGTTTGTTATACCAAGAAATATCCATTCAACCTTTATTTATCCAGGTTAGTTTCATTGATCCACGAGGACTCGTACAAAAGAAACCTGTTTTAGACAGACAACATATAAAGTACAGACAACAATAAACAACAATAAAAAGTAATTAAAAATAAAAAGTTGTGTTATAATAGCATTCAAATCAAGGTGCCAAATAAAACAAGGCATAATAATAATAATAATAATAATAATAATAATATAAAGGTGTAATACTCCTCTAATTTCTATATGTTTGTAACATTTGAAAAATGCTTAAATGTAAGAAAGAGGGGAAAAACTATTCCTTGCTGCTTCCAGCTCTTTAGCATTAAATATATAAAATATACTAAGTTGTTAGTTCAAATTTTTGATGATTACACATAAAATTGTATGGATTTTTTTTCTAAATCTTTAATTTGCACACTAAAAACTGGTGGGTTATTTTTGTAGATCAGTTGCTGGGTTAAAGCTGACGGGTCATAGGTTGGGTGGGCTCGACCAAAGATTGGGTCAAAAAGTTTGTCCCAATGGTTGGATTGTCAATTCTTCACAGTCTGCCATTTTGGGTGGGAAGTCGACCAAATAAGACCTGACTGGACCTCTACTTTAGAAAGTAAAACATAAAGGTATGGTAAAAGCAATAAAGATGCTTACTTTTGTTAAAAACTTTAGTTACCATTAGACACTGAGTTTGGGTTAATAAAAAACTCTGGTCAGTGCTAGGTAGCTAATAGCTTTTGCTAGCTAGCTTGAACAAATAAACAAATTCATAAATATCTAATAATTTTTGTAATTTTAACCCAATTTTGGATAAAAACATAACTGAGTATGCAGGTTAAACTTAATTCAAACTACCCAGGGATAGTCCAAATCTGACCCCCTCACTGAGTCGTTTTTAGCCCAGCAGTTTTCAGCGTGTGCTTCCCAATCTGAAATCTGAAACTCAACATTGCATAAACGTCGTCACAGTGTTATCAGTGGGACCTTTACTTCTTGGCTTCATCTCCTCACATAAAAAGCTGAAATGATAGTAAAAGCAGGTCCGGTTCCTGCGGCCTCAAACGAAACACCTCCTTTGAAGGTTTAATAGGGAAGATTCCTGAGAACCATCCACACCCTTGGATCCCAACACAACACACATCTCAATCCAGACGTTCTGCCCAGAAACGCTTCCTGGCATATGAAAACACAGCCAAATGAAAGAAAGCACAGCAACACGCCCAAACACACCCACACGAAACAGGTATTTGCGCACCACTTTCAAGAATGGACTTTTACAGCTTATGTGACTGGCAGTGAAATCTGCAATTAGACCATGAATGTGCGTCTTATCAAACCATTATTTTGGCTTAAAGACATTTTTTTAAACTGCTAGGTGTGTGTGACAGGTGATACAACCCTTATCTGTACCAAATTACAGCTCAGGTTTAAATGATGGGCAGGAAGGATTCAAGGCGTGCAATAAAAACACCTTACAACTGCAATTAGACCAATGCACCAGGGGGACTAGAGAGCGTAGATTTGACTTCTGAGAAAACAAAACAAGCAAAGGTTTAATGTCTAACTATAGCGTGTAAATAATGACATAAACTGGCAATCAATCTAATTTATCAGTGCACTTTATTTGCATTTTTTATCTGAGAGGATTAAAGAAATTCACATCGACTGTGATCATCTGACCATCACAAGAGCTGCACTCCTTTTTCTTATATTGTGTTGACCCTGATTATCGCTTGCAGTTACAGGTCACATAAAAACTTCTTGGCATCCTATCTTGGAACTGGGTCAGAGCAGGAGAAACTTCAAAAACCCATGGGTGATGTTGTGGTGTGAGGACAAAGGATCACAACGAGGTAGGTGCCAATGTCCTGTTGCTATCTAAACTGATAAAAACCACAGCTCTAGTTGTGCCATCACAGCAGAAACCTCCCGGCATCAAAAGATGGAAACTATTCCAGCACTAAACTGTTAAAACATATAATAAAAACTAGAGATAAGGCCTTCTAAGTCCCTGCAGAGTGCGTGGGGCTCTTAGACACCATTTTATCAGCTGCTCAGCATGAACAGCTGCCAAGTGTTTTATACGACTTCCTGGCAAAAGATGAACCATAAAGCATTTATTCTAACCACCTTCACTGTAACACTGGAAGAAAAACAAAAGTTCATAAACGTACAGGTGAATCTAACGTTGCTTTTCTTCTTTGGTTGGCAAAGGTGTGGCGTGAGGCTCCAGCAGGAGGGCAATGTATATTGTTTCAAGAAAAAAATTACTTTTGAGCTTTCAGGTTATTTGATTATCACTGCGAATTACATAAGTTACAAAAAAAACAACACTTTGCTAATGTATGTGTCAGCGCTTGTCAGTGCAGATCACAATGAGTTGTTTTGGTCAAACAGTTGTATCGACACTGGGAGGTCTTGAAACAGTCTCTGATGGTGAGATGTCTAGGTCTTATAATAAAAAGGGAGTGGTGGTGCAGAGGTTAGAGAAGATGGGCCTGCGATCAGAAGATCATTGATGGACAACATCAAAATGTGGGTGGGATAGGTGAAGCACCCACTCCTGCCTCCGCCCTCATTTGCCCCACTCAGGGCCCTTGAGCAAGGCCCTTAACCCCCACCATCTGCTTCCCCAGGCAATCAAAAATGAAAGTCTTAAGCCCAGTCATAAAACTGGACAATGTGTCAGCTCTATGAACAGAAACTGGAAGTTGGTTCCACAAGAGAGGAGCCTGATAACTGAAAGATCTGCCTCCCATTCTGCTCTTGGAAACTCTAGGGACCACGAGTAAGCCTGCAGTCTGAGAGCGAAGTGCTCTGTTAGGAAAATATGGAACAATAAGATCTCGAATATGAGATGGAGCTAGGGTGTTGAGAGCTTTGTAGGTTAGAAGTAAGATTTTGAATTAAATTCTGGACTTGACAGGGAGCCACTGGAGAGAAGCTAAAACTGGAGAGATAAGATCTCTCCCACTAACTCCAGTTAAGACTCTGGCAGCAGCATTCTGTTTTAAGTGAAGACTTTGTAAAGAAGTAGTTGGACACCCAGATAACAAACCATTGCAATTAACATCTTACCTGTTGTAGATAGCTTTTTGAACGAGTTCAGTTTGAAGAAAGAAGTATTAGTTAAGACAGAAGGACGATTTAACAGCTAGTCTACGCAGAAACAAGACCAAAGTGGATTGGCGTCATGGACTAGCTATTAGGTAATCTGATCAGGTTTAAGCTCTTTTTCACCAAACTGAATTTGTTAAAAAAAAAAACTATCTACAATTGACAAGATATTAAATGTTCATTACATTTCCACTTGCACCTCCTCAGAAGATCCAACCTAGTTTTAGTTTGGTTCAGTTTAGTCTTGAACTGAATTTTCAGCACACCGTTAGATTTAGGATTTAGTAGCAGCTCAGTTCCTGCTTCTTAAAAGAAGAAATAAATTGGTGCCGTGCCATTTGCTTAGGCAATACTGTGATGCTAGATGAAGAGCATGCAATCATGGCTTCCTGTTTTCCTCTTGTTATACATTCCTGTGATGTGTTTCCTCTGAAAGACTTGCTTAAGTCCGTCTAACCTCAGCTCACGTGAGTCTTAAGCCAAACAGGAAGGAGTGGCTGTTAGAACTCGTACGCTTGTTTGTTGTTGAGTACAAGTTGCATCATGCAAAGAGGCATCCCCACTGGGGGAGTTAGCGTGAATAATCCAGGGGTGTCTCAGCCTATACCTTCGCATACCAGCGTGAAAGAAAAACCACACGGCAGAGCGTGCACATTCACCTGTGTATCCAAACAATGACGGCGCTGCCACACTCACTGAACACGCGATGGTGTTGCTGTAAGAGTTAATCTGCTTTACTCACAACTTATCAAATAGCACAAGCAAAGGGCCTCCACACGCAAGACTTGCACGGTCCAGATTTAGATGCTTTTTGTCTCGATAAACACAGTGACTGAGCTCTTTTCTCCTCATTACCAGATGACAAGACAAAACTGAACATGTTTCAGCTCAGATTCGTCACTTTGTTTCTCTAAAGTTTTTATTTTCACACATTTATCAGGTCGCTGGTGAAGACTCTCAGTCATCCAGGACATAGCAAGATCAAAAAAGTTCAATACAAAATCAACTGGACTTTATTTGTAACATTTACAAACAACATCCAGTTGATTTTGTCTTGAACTTTTTTGACATTTATCATATGTTTTACCTCTTTTGCTTGAATCATAATCTACCACATGTTGATTATGGTTAGATGCACGAGAATTGTTTTATACTGGTGGGTTTATTTAATTACGCATCACAATTTTCAGTTGCGCTGTTACTTACAAAAAGTCTGGTTATGTTTGAAGTGATGTGCTGTCAAATATTGATCAAATGTTAGTACCTAGGCTAGGCTAATGCCTAGCCAAAGAATGCCGCTGTTATTTATCTAGGCTTAATAATTTGACTTTGGATTATTATACAACTCTTGTCAAATCTACATGTTAGTGTGAAATAATGCTACATTTGCTCATTTAAACTCTCATGGTACCGTTGGTTCAGTTTTATTATTTTTTCTTGACCAACGAGATCCATGTTTCTACATAAATGTGTACGTGCTGAGCATAGCGTGTCAGTGTCCTGTTGCTGCTGAATCTATCAGTTTTGGAGTGACCTTTTGAACAGACATGACGCCCACATCAAGTAGACAAAAACAGGAGTATCATCAACATATATATTTATGGCTGTGCAAATCAGTCAAATCAAATGTTTGATTTGACTGAATAAGTGATTAACAAGCTTCTGCAGAACTTGGACATGCCAAAGAACAGGGAGACATTAAAATATGCAGGAAAGGTCCCCTGAAAGACCAGGATTGGGCACGACTGAACAAAACAAACGATGTTGTGCACATCTGTAGAGGTTTAATATTGTTTATTGTAGCGTTCTTTCCCCACTGGTATGATATTTGTAAGAGTTGTCTTGTAAATCTGAAAAACTATTTAAAAAAAACTTACTATACTTGGCTAGCTATTAGCCAAGCTTGGAGGGACTTCTGCCTTTTATCCATACTTTGTGGTCCTTGACAGATTTCCACTGCTGGAAGGTACTAACTATTAATGATTAGTTTACAGCACAACATTTTGAAAATTACCAGACGGTCCCTTCAATGAACATTGTCCTAATTTAACATGAAGAAGAAGAAGA